AAACCCAAAATTGTCATAAAGCACACACCTAATATTATTAAAATTAAAACCAAGTGCTAAACCCACTAGGGTCATACAGCACTGCTAGGCAGGGAGCATTGCTGGAGCAGAGCATATTATTATAATAAAAAAGAAGCGCTAAACCACAAGGGCTATACAGCGAAGCAGAGCGTAGCCAAGGGTGAAGAGGATAACAGAGGTAGAGATAGAAAGGGCTGTGAGGAGTGTTCCTTGAAAGACAGGACATTATTATTATAATCAAGGGGGAAGCGCTAAACCCGGAGGATTATACAGGAAAGACAGGACAGTCCGATAGAATATGGCAAACTGAAATTGGAACCTGGCAATTCTCTGAGAGTGGAACAGGGCGCCTTTCCACGAGATACCAGTGAGTAAGAATTGTATGTCCGATGTCAAGGTCTCCCAGCCTCGGCATCGATGATAAGGCCAGAAACCTAAACTTGACTTGATGGCATATAATCTGGTATCTTATTTTCATTAATAAGATATCTTGACATGTTACATATGTTACTATACTGTCTCTCTCTGTATGCCTCACTGTATACTGGCACTGGACAAGCACCTAAAGTCGGTACCTTGACAGCCGGGCTGTGGCTCGTACGTTGGATTGCGTGCAGCCAGCAGTAACAGCCTGGTTGATCAGGCTCTGATCCACCATGAGGCCTGGTCACAGACCGGGCCACGGGGGCGTTGACCCCTGGAACTCTCTCCAGGTATACCTGATTACATAATTTGAATTTAGTTTGATCATCATCTGTGTATCTCCCAAACTGCCAGAAGTACTTGTAAACAAGCCTAAGCCTGACCACTACAACATCAATCTGTTCACATTGCAAGTTGCTCCATAAACATACTTATCTACGTGGGTTATAGATCTACTCAGGCTTCTAATTGCATTCCTATAGTAATCATTTTCATTATTTACTTCTCCAATATTATTCCTAATGCTAGACACAGATATACCAAAGTTATATTCTACATTCTCCTGGGTACTCTTCTTGACTAACATATCAACTCTATCATGAAGGAGTAATCCAATGTGTGATGGGATCCATAGCAATTGTACATTAATTCCTTGAAAAAAACAAACCATACCCCGGCCGGGATTGAACCCGCGGTCAGAGACTCTCTGACCGCGGGTTCAATCCCGGCCGGGGTATGGTTTGTTTGCAATCGTGTCATTACGATTTCGTGAGTCATTAATTCCTTGGTCCCAGATTTTTGAGTAACTATACCTGGCGTCTCCAATGAGCATGTTGTTGGAGTCATTATATGAGTCAAGAGCCTTCAATGATGACAAAGAATCAGTAATGATGATAGAGTCAAGCTGTGTCATAAGTTAGCTTTAGCGCCATTAGGACTACAAACAATTCAGTTTGCAGTGTAGACGGCCAGTTGTTAATTCTTATGCCTAGTTCAACAAGTTTATTATCGTTTTTAAAAGGGAGGTGGCAATAAGAGCAGATGCAGCAGGAGAGAGGTAATGGAGAGGGAGAAAGCGAGGTGATGGAGAGAAAGGGTGGAGAAAGGAGGGTGTGGGAACGATGAAGAGGGTGGAGAAAGGCGGGTGTGGGAACGACGGAGAGAGGGTGAAGAAAGGCGGGTGTGGGAACGATGGAGAGAGGGTGGAGAAAGGCGGGTGGTGGAGACAGGCGGGTGTGGGAATGATGGAGAGAGGGTGGAGAAAAACGGGTGTGGGAACGATGGAGAGAGAGTGGAGAAAGGCATGTGTAGGGAATGATGGAGAGAAGGTGGAGAAAGGCGGGTGTGGGAACGATGGACAAGGGGTGGAGAAAGGCGGGTGGTGGTGGTGAACGTTAGAGAGGTATATTAAGCCAGTTACATTTGGAGTAGCTTCATTTTCGGTTCATCTTCCAAGCAACACTAATATCCATTTGCTATTCGGGTGAGTTTCTTTCTTTCTTTTTTCTCACTCACACACACCCAGTAGCAACCGGTGAAGAGGCGGGGCCAGGAGCTAAGACTCGACCCCTGCAACCACAAATAGGTGAGTACACACGAGCAGAGACCTAGTAGTGGCCAGGAACTGTGAATCAACCCCCTGCTACCACAAATAGGTGAGCATACACAGTACACAGTGTACGTCAGGCCCATAATGGAGTATGCAGAGGCGGATTAATATTTTGTAGGCCTCTGAGCAACAGGTACTGGGAGAGCCCCCCAGTGATATTTTCAAAAGGTAAAACAATAATCACAACAGTCAACACTTCATCATATACGTGATATAATAACATACTACAATTATAAACTTACAGCAATAACTGTGAACACTATTCACTCAGTCTCTGGAGGCCTCCAGCTGGTTGAGGCCCCTGAGCTCCAGCCCCTAAAGCCAATGCCTTAATCCGGCCCTGGGAGTATGCACCACTGATCTGGAACCTACACCTGGTCAAGCATGTCAAGAAGTTAGAGACGGTGCAAAGGCTTGCAACAAGATGAGTCCTGAAGCTAAGGGGGTAGGCCCTACGAGGAGAGGTTAAAATCAAACCTGACGACACTGGAGAACAGGAGGGAGAGGGAGGGTGGGGGCATGATAACGACATATAAAATACCGAGAGGAACTGAGAAGGTGGATAGGGACAGAATGTTTCAGAGATGGAACACAGCAACAAGGGGTCACAACTGGAAACTGAAAACTTAGAAGAGTCACAGAGATGTTAGGAAGAAAATCTTCAGTCATAGAATTGTCAGAAAGTGGAACAATCTGGAGAGTGATGTAATGGAGGCAGGATCTATTATATAATCATATGTAATCATAACCAAGCACTAAACCCATAAGGGTCATGCAGCATTAGGCAGAATCCATACATAGCTTTAAGAGGTACAGTGCAGCTCATGGAACAGGGAGTGGACCTAGTAGCGACCAGCAAAGAGGCGGGGCCAAGAGCTGTGCTTCGACCCTTGCAACCACAATAGGCGAGTAAAAATAGGTGAGCACATACATACACACACACACACACACACACACACGGACACAGAAACAAGGGGTCACTCTTGGAAGTTGAAGACTCGGATGAGCCACAGGGATGTTAGGAAGCATTTCTTCAGTCATAGAGTGGTCAGGAAGTGGAACAGTCTGGCAAGCGATGTAGTGGAGGCAGGAATCATACATAGCTTTAAGACGAGGTATGATAAGGCTCATGGAGCAGGGAGAGAGAGGACCTAGTAGCGTTCAGTGAAGAGGTGGGCCAGGAGCTGAGTCTCGACCCCTGCAGCTACAATTAAGTGAGTACATATCTGACAACCAGCACAGCTTCAAGGATGAAATATCCTGTCACAAACCTACTGGAGTTCTACGACAGGGTAACATGAGTCTTGTATAAAAGCAAGAGCAACAGGGATTGGAATAAAAGGAAAACACCACAATAGATCGGGGAATACCTGACAGGAAGGAAACGAGTGATGGTCCATGACGAGTGTCAGAATGGGTGCATGTGATGAGTGAGATTCCACAAGGATCAGTCCTAGGGCTGGTGCTATCTCTTGTATACTTGAATGACATGACAGAAGGGAGCGAGTTAGAGGGGATTACCAACAGACCCCTGGCAGTTTCAAGCTGGCACTGGACAAGCACCTAAAGTCAGTTCCGGATCAGCCGGGCTGTGGCTCGTATGTTGGTTTGCGTGCAGCCAGCAGCAACAGCCTGGTTGATCAGGCTCTGATCCACCAGGAGGCCTGGTCTCAGACCGGGCCGCGGGGGCGTTGACCCCCGGAACTCTCTCCAGGTAAACTCCAGGTATCCCTATTCACAGATGAGGTGAAACTAATGAAAATACAAACAGACGAGGATCAGAAAAGACTACAAAGGTATCTGGACAGGCTACAGGCCTTATCTGACAAATGTCACCCTGCCTCGGTAGGCAACGGCCAATATGTTAATAAAATAAGATAATCAATTTAAGCACTACTCATAAGAGTAATATAGCAGTCCAGGATTTCATGAAGTTGATTATTATTATTATAATCAAGGGGGAAGCGCTAAACCCGGAGGATTATACAGCGCCTGGGGGGGGGATATGTGGAAGGCATTCAGGCTTAATTCGGGGAACTGGAGCACAGATCCAATTCCCTAAATCAAGAGCCCCTCACCAACATCAAGGAATTCATGAAGTTGAATGAATTCATTTTAAATAAAATTTATAAAACCTGTATGCTATGGTACCAAGACAGATGAGAGTGGGCCATCATATGGTCAAGGCTCATGTCAGGCAGTCTTGCTAGATGAATTTAAAATGAACCAAACCAAGTCTCTATTATTTTACAGTTGAGATTTCAGGCCAAGAGCCATTAGCCTACCTCAGCTAGTTACAAAGCCTAATTCTGGCTATATTATACTACCTTCTAGGATGTGACCCATAACAGTAAATTAGCATCCAGAAACTATTTGCTGTTAAGAGACCATACAATAAGTGTCAGGGGCCCGAGACTGTTCAACTGCCTCCCAGCATACATAAGGGGGATTACCAACAGACCCCTGGCAGTCTTCAAGCTGGCACTGGACAAGCACCTAAAGTCGGTTCCTGACCAGCCGGGCTGTGACTCGTACGTTGGTTTGCGTGCAGCCAGCAGCAACAGCCTGGTTGATCAGGCTCTGATCCACAAGGAGGTCTGGTCACAGACCGGGCCGTGGGGGCGTTGACCCCCGGAACTCTCTCCAGGTGATACTGTATATATTAACTGTGGGAGCACTAAAGCTGTAAGGGTCATAAAGCATCTTGTAAAATGGGATAGATCTGAGCTGATCCAAGGAAAGGATGGGTAGCTTCAATTCTTTGGATTAAGAGCCCTTCAGCATCAAGCCACCTCCAGTGAAGGGTATTTACTGCTAAATCAACTGTCAGCAGGTCCAAGATTTGCCCGTATGTCTTGCCTGTGAACTGAGCTTTTGATCAACTAACATAAAAAAAGAAGTCATCTATTTTGTAAACACTATAATGTAATGTACTCACCTAGTTGAGGTTGCAGGGGTCGAATCTAAGCTCCTGACCCCGCCTCTTCACTGGTTGCTACTAGGTCACTCTCCCTGAACCGTAAGCTTTATCATACTCTGCTTAAAGCTATGTATGGATCCTGCCTCCACTACATCGCTCCCCAAACTATTCCACTTCCTGACTACTCTGTGGCTGAAGAAATACTTCCTAACATCCTTGTGATTCATCTGTGTCTTCAACTTCCAACTGTGTCCCTTTGTTGCTGTGTCCCATCTCTGGAACATCCTGTCTTTGTCTACCTTGTCAATTCCTCTCAGTATTTTGTATGTCGTTATCATGTCCCCCCTATCTCTCCTGTCCTCCAGTGTCGTCAGGTTGATACATTTGCTGTGCGTGCATCTGTGCAGGTTTAATTTTTTAGACAGTCACCAGAAATTAATATTTGGTTGCAGAGAACTAGCAGAATATGAATCCATGCAGAAGTCTGGAAAGAAGGGCACCAATGACAGCATGGGCAGCTGTGTGGGCAGTGACATGGGTGGCTTTGACATGGGGAGGGGTTGGTGAAGCAATGGTGTACCAACTTCTGGGCGTTGGGAGGTGTGGCACTGCCATCCAGGAACTTCCTGTATTCTCCTTCATCGGCTGTGCTGCCATCTGTCTATCAGGTTAGTACCACCCAGGTGGGTTGGTAGTGGATGGGTGTTGTACAGTTACTATTTATGCCTAATCGTGATTCGGTAATATGTACATTCATGGGAAAAAAGTCTGAGGAAACTCAAGAAAGTCAATTATAATCAGAGGTAGATAGAAAGATGTGGGAAAAGATACTTATGTCTTCAACTGTACATAGGTGTCATTTTCCACAGAGGGTAGGTAATAATAATAATAATATAATCAAATAATCCCTGAACAGAATACCTCTATAGGCAACCAGAAGATCATGTGCCACTGACTGTGCAGCAGCATCTGCCTGTGCATTGCCCTGCATATCAACATGTCCAGGGACCCAACAGAAAACGATGTCTGTTTAGGCACGGCACAACCATGGTTGAATATGAAGAACCAATGGATGAGGGGAATCAAATTGTTTAATGGCTTGTACAGTACTGAGGGAATCTGAAATGTTATGCAATGGGAATTTTGTCTATTGAATTTTATTACGAGCTTTCTTCTTTGTTCAATTTAACCAAATTCCTAGTTATTTTGCTAGTAAGCCCTCCATTCTGTTGACTGGGCACAAGAAACTATCCATTCAACTCTCAGAGCTATCCTATAAAGTGTCCATTCAAACTGCCCTAACTACGCAATAACTTGCCCAGAGGTTGGTAATTTAACCCATTTTACACAAAATTCAACAAATTCTAATTAAAAAAAAAAACAGTCCAAAATAACACTGTAGGCATTTCAGGCAGAAAAGCAACCTGATCATGAACTGGACCACAGGGGCATTTACTCTCAGAATACCCTCCAGGTATATCCGCTATTCCTTAATCATGTCTCTAGTCCTCTATTATATGTACATGTATATAAAAAAAATTTGAATCCATCATCACACACAAAAACATTAGTTTTACGCTAGTTCTCAGACAATAAAATATAACAAAGAATGATTGGTCATGATTTAGGTTGTCCCAATAATTGAAGCAGACTAGTAAAAACCCATAAAACAGACCAGGGTAGTAGAGGGGACCTACTACTTCTCAGAAAAATTGCCAAAAATTAAATATTTCTGCTACTTTGAACCCTATTTCAAGCTACTTCCAGTCCTGAAACTGACCAAACTCATTTCTGTTTCACTTGTGTGTCTTCCATTCTGTTAACTAATAAAAAAAACTCAAAGTTGCTATAAAAAACAAACAAGTCAGTTTGCTCTTCCCATTATGCACTGCATGGGAGGAACATTTTTATACTGTGCACACTCACTGCAGACCCATTTTATTGTCTGGCCAAAATTTACTGTTCACAGCATATTTGATGGTGCTGTGTTTAAAAGAGATCTACAAGAGCAACACCTCCATCAGTAATATGTGGGAGTCAGTGAAAGGTTAAGTGTTGCATATTAAAGTCCACCACTCGTCTTCACTCACACCATTAACACTATCCATCGTCTCAGCTGCCGCTACTTTCAGTCACCTCTCATAGCAGACACCATTATTCACCATTACCATAGTCACTCCCATAACTTAACACAGCTACTTGCATCACCCACCACCATAAATAACCATCATATCCTTACCCACCACCCACCATTGTAACCTCAATCACTTGCACCTTCACCGCTGATGCCATTATACATTTCTATTATAACTGCCATTTACCCCAACAGATCCATTATGTAATGGGTTCTCATCCTCTGCAAACAGCTGCGAGTCAGTAAACATTGTGTCAGAACCCGACATGAACCCAAACTACTCCTGTTACATCACACGTGAGCCTTTAATTGTCTTTGACATATGCTTGCACTGAGTACTTATTGGTCATTTGGCTGTTCTTGTTGCGAGTGCCGATGTTCTCCATAACAATGCCTGTCCGTCTACTGCATGTGGACAGATATTATGGAAATCATTTATAACTGCTAATGTTTATTTTGTAACTCCCCTTCCCTAAATTGTGTAACAATTCCTTTTTCACACCATGAGTGTTACTGTCTACTATGATGCAGACATGTTTTCTCCGGTGTAGTCCTAACCAGGAAGCGAAACCATTCTGGAAGCCCTAGAATTTTGGCATAAATTTATGTCATTTTCCCAATTGGCAATAAATTTTATCATCCACAGCCTAAGGGTTAAACTTAGCATTCATATACTCTAACTATTATTTAATGTCAAGTTTTGTGCCAAAAATGTTTTGTATAACTATGGGCTTTTCCATGTAAGAAACCACTTACGTAAACCAAGGTCTAACTCAAATTTATCCTCTTGGAATGCAAGCATTGTATGGGTGTGAGTCATGGGTGGTAAATGTTGCAACAAGGAGAAGGCTGGAGGTAGTGTAGATGTCATGTCTGAGGGCAATGTGTGGTGTGCATATACTGCAGAAAATCCATAGTTTGGAGATTAGGGGGAGGTGCGGGATTACCAAAACTATTATCCAGAGGGCTGAGGAGGGGTTATTGAGATGGTTTGGACATGCAGAGAGGATGGAACAAAAATAGGATGACTCTGAGAGTGTATAAATCTGTAGTGGAGGAAAGGCAGGGTAGGGGTCGGCCTAGGAAAGGTTGGAGGGCGGGGGTAAAGGAGGTTTTGTGTGGGAGGGGCTTGGACTTCCAGCAAGTGTGTGTTAGATAGAAGCAACTGGAGACGAATAGTTTTTAGGACTTGACGTGCTGTTGGAGTGTGAACAGGGTAACATTTATGAAGGGATTCAGGGAAACCAACAGGCCGGACTTGATTCTGGGAGATGGGAAGTACAGTGTCTGCACTCTGAAGGAGGGGTGCTAATGTTGCAATTTTATAACTGTAGTGTAAGCCTGCCTCTGGCATGACAGCGATGGAGTGAATGATGAAAATTTTTCTTTTTTGGGCCACCCTGCCTTGGTGGGAAATGGCCGATGTGTTAATAAAAAAATAATACAACATTTGTGTATAATATTTATCAAGGCTCTCTCTCCCCTTGCAGAGACTTAGTCTATCATATACTGTAGCTATTAATTCTACATCTTGATTATGCAGTTAAATTTTTATGTAATTTATAGCTGGGCCATTTGCCTTGATGATATTATTATTAGTAGTAGTAGTAGTAGTACTGGTGGCAGTAATATTATCAGTTATGTATTATTGTCTATACACAAAAGAGCCACATCATTATTATTATTATTATGTATAGAAAAGTGCTAAACCCATATGGGTTATTCAACAATATGCTTATAGACATAATGTTGTTTCTTTCCTTATCTAGAATCACTGTACAAGAATTTGACAAGCACTGCAACTACTACCACCAAACCACCAGTAACACAAGGTCCTGTGATGGTGTCTATGAGTCTGGGAGTGAGTGGAGCAAATATTCTGGGCTTCACTGAAGATAATAATACCTTCATCAACTTTTTGTCCTTTACTATGTACTCAATGCCTGTCTCCAATCCACCAGCAGCAGTGAAAAGCACTATCGTGAGTGGTGGCGAGACATGTGGGACTGGCCAAGCCATGGTGGGTATAGGTTCTCTCCACACAAGTGACCCTGAAAAGACTGACCAGAGGATGTACTGTGCAAATATGCTGAGCCCTAAAAACATCACAAGTACTTGTGTATCTGTACCTCTTGGTCAAGCACCACGCCCAAACTTAACTCTCACAGGCACAAACACCACAAGCTGGTACAACTGGTTGGCTTGTCAAAATCAATACATAATAACCAAATTAAACTGGACATTTGATAATAGTTCTTTAAACAGAATTACTGACTATAGATACTCTGCAGTAACATGCTGTCTGGTCCAGTAATAAGAATAAGCAGAATCAGGATGCTGAAGTCTATAATTTGAAGTTAAACTTGATAGTCTAATGTTTGGCTAAGTCTATTCACTAATGCATACTGCATAAGCATCAATAATTGATGAACCATTTCCTGCTACCTAACTCCAACTAGCATAAAAGTCCATAACTGAAAAAATATCTACCAAAATACTATTATATTTTTTTGCTTCTTTGCAGAAGTTGATCAATAAAATGTCTTAAAAGAGGGTAGTAAGTGCTGCCACTATTTGAAGCTTTAAAAATTATGATAGACTGAATTATGAAGATGGGATACATTGAGCTTACCTACCTCCGCTTCTTTAGTTAAAGATCACTTAGTTTGTATTTCTTGACAAAATGCTGTAAAACTACTTTTGCAATTTATCTTGTAAGCTATACATCAGTGCTGGTGAGGAAATGTGCCAAAAAATAAGGGAAACCGTAAGTGCTTCAAGAGCAGAAACAAAAATATTAAAGGAAGAGAAAAGAAATGGTGTACTGATTAAAAATAATTTTAAACACCAGTACCAAAAACAAAAGGTCTGTTCAAAAGAGTGGGCAGTAAAAAAAAAAAAAAAAAAAAAAAAAAAAAGTGAAAGAGGGCAGAAGGGATGAGGAGGGTATAGGGGAACTATTTTTGGAGATCTAGGGTACAACTTTCCCTATTCCATGTTCACAAATTTTTGTATAACAAAGAAAAGAGTTATGCCATACCTCAGTATCTTACCAGATATCAGGGCAACCACTGTATATATGGTATGCACCTTTGCAGTCAAGAAAGAGCTAAAACAAGCCAGTCCATTAGTCATGGGAAAGTACTAAACCTGTAGGAGTCATGCAGCACCTGGGGAAAGATGGCACATACCAATATTGGCAAGTGCCTGTAAAGCTTCATAGACACTCATTATCTTAATATGTTTATGTTGGAAACATTTTTGACTACAACATTTCTGAGAACATTAAAAGTTTCTGGCAAACTTTCTAGGCAAAGCAGTAAATACAACTAGCTCTTGTAGAGTAGGAGCTATTCCAAACTTATGCTGAATGAAAAACCCTTTAACCTTTAAACTGTCCAAACATAGATCTACATTTTTTCAACATTTGAAAGTATGTAAAAAACGTAGATTTTTTTTTTTTTTTTACATTTGAAAACGTGTAAAAAACTTTTTTTTTTTTTTTTGTTATATTTGAAAATATGTAAAAAACGTAGATCTACTTTTGGAGCATTACACATGTGAACGTAAATTTGTTTGGTCAGTTTAAGGGCTAAACAATATTTAATTTGGTGCAGCGAGGACATTTCCAAATCCAACATGAAAGGTCATCTTGAATGACATTAACAGAGACCAATATCACTAGTCTTTATAATTTGTAATTGTTACTTACAGTCTATAACTTTCTTTGATCAAGCACATTACTGCAATAATATTCACATGTGCATCATTTAACCTAGTATTAGCTGTATATTCTTATGATTACTGAGGCTGACTTTTGAAATTCTTCCTGTATTGCAATAAAATCACACCATCTTCAGTAAATTATCAGTGATTCAAGCTTCACTGATTTTTGTTTCTGATTTCCACTTGAAAAATGTTTCTTTCTTTCAGCAGGCCTCTCTGTAACCATGGCAATACCATACAAACTTTAAGTATGAAAACCAAATGTCTCAGAGGCCTTATGGAATACCTGGTAACTATTACCATGTGACTCGTGACATAGCAGTAGCTACACCTAATACTCGCCCTTCTAGTAACTATCATACACCATTTCACCTTGTAATACGTGAACCTGCCATAACTTCACTCCTCAAACTCATGTTCACACACAGTACAAGGTGCTGTCAAAAAGTTCCTGAACTCAAATTTCCACATTTCCTGGGTGAAATATGGCAGCAGTGTAGATCATGATGTGCCGTACACTTGTTTGAGAAGTAGCATGGCAGGTTTCAGTGCAATCAGTCATTCTGTTGAGATTTGACGGGAATTTTTTATGTCATTGTGTTACTGCAATATTTTGTAAAACAGTATGGAATCTTTAAAAAAAAGAATGTGTGCATGAAACTCTCAAAATGCTTCACCAAGCATTTGACAACAAAGCAATGGGTTAGACACAATGTTTTGAATGGTTTTTCTCGGTTCAAAGCAGGGCAAACTTCAGCCAAGAATGATGAGTGCTCTGGTCATCCATCAACATAAAAAGCAAACACCAACACTGAAAAAGTGAGGAAGGCTATTCATGAAGATCATCATCAAAGTATCCAGGACATTGCAAGTGAAAATTTGAACATGACTGAAAATCTGAACATAAGGCGAGTGCCTGCAAAATTTAAGCCTTACTGACTCGCAATCAAAAAGATCATCGTTTTCAGGCCAAAAACATGGCAGTGATCCACCATCCTTCCTACTCCCCAGATCTAGCCCCCTGCGACTCTCTCCCTTCCCAAAAATAGAAATGGCACTCAAAAGGCTCAATATTTTCATGACATGGAGGAAATTCAAGCAGAATCGCAGGATTTGCCTCTATGAAAGAAAAGTTCAAGAAGTGGCAGAGGCACTGGGATCAGTGTACTCCAAAGGGGAGTACTTCAAGGGAGACAACTTCAAGTAGGTAATTAGGCAAGCCTACATATATTTTTTTTGCAGCAGTCTAGGAACCTTTGGAAAGCACCTCATACCTAAAGGCCTCTTACAGTCAACATATGAAAACATTTAGAATATCTTTGACAAATAAAAATAGGAAGGTTTTCTTTATAAACTTCTTTATACAGCAGTTTTGATATATTGTCAAAATAAAACTAACCCAGCTTTTTTATATCATTTAAAGCTTCATAGTCTATATATACAAAATCTATGTAATAAGAAGTTTAGCTTACCTGATCTACAGTAATGTCATAAATGCACATACACAAACAGATCACACAGAAAACAAGACTGCTCACCATAAACTATTACTTGAAATACTGTACAGTATATAATACTAATACAGTGGACCCTCGACCAGCGATGGCATCGATTAACGATAAATCTGACTAGCGATACATTTTATCGCAAAAATTTTGCCTCGATTAGCGCTAAAAAACTCGACCAACACTATTCCTTCCGTCTGAGACGCGTCCACTTCTGGCAGTGTTTACAAGCCAGCCAGCCACAGCGGTCGCTTCCAAGCATACAATCGGAACATTTCATATTATCACAGCCTTTTTAGTGATTGCACCTGCAAAATAAGTCACCATGGGCCCCAAGAAAGCTTCTAGTGCCAACCCTACAGCAAAAAGGGTGAGAATTACTATGGATATGAAGAAAGAGATCATTGCTAAGTATGAAAGTGGAGTGCATGTCTCTGAGCTGGCCAGGCTGTACACAAAACCCCAATCAACCATCGCTACTATTGTGGCCAAGAAAACGGCAATCAAGGAAGCTGTTCTTGCCAAAGGTGCAACTATGTTTTCGAAACTGAGATCACAAGTGATAGAAGATGTTGAGAGACTGTTATTGGTATGGATAAACGAAAAACAGATAGCAGGAGATAGCATCTCTCAAGCGATCATATGTGAAAAGGCTAGGAAGTTGCATGACAATTTAATTAGAAAAATGCCAGCAACTAATGGTGATGTGAATGAATTTAAGGCCAGCAAAGGTTGGTTTGAGAGATTTAAGAATCGTAGTGGCATACATAGTGTGATAAGGCATGGTGAGGCTGCCAGTTTGGACCAAAGAGCAGCTGAAAAATATGTGCAGGAATTCAAGGAGTACATAGACAGTGAAGGACTGAAACCTGAACAAGTGTTTAATGGTGACACTGACAATGTTGTGAAACACGTTAGGAATGTCATAAAGGAACGGGAGGTACAGGCCTCTATGGGCAGATATGTTGTGCGACAGAGGTCCAGTGACTCTCAAGCTGGTCCTAGTGGCATTAAAAGAAGGGAAGTAACCCCGAAAAAGGACTTGCCACCTCAAGTCCTAATGGAAGGGGATTCCCCTTCTAACACTAAGACCATCAACACACTCCCCTCTTCCCATCCCATCAATCACCACCAGATCTTCAATAAAGGTAAGTGTCATGTAACTGTGCATGTCTTCTTCAGTTTGTGTGTATTAAAATTAATATTTCATGTGTTAAAATTTTTTTTTCAATACTTTTGGGTGTCTTGCACGGATTAATTTGATTTCCATTATTTCTTATGGGGAAAATTAACTTGACTAACGATTATTTTGACTAACGATGAGTTCTCAGGAACGGATTAATAGCGTTAGTCGAGGGTCCACTGTATATGCACATGGGGAGCAAGGGGCTAGTAACCTCTTCTCCTGTATAAATTACTAAATTTAAAAAGAGAAACTTTCGCTTTTCTTTTTGGGCCACCCTGCCTTGGTGGGATACAGCCAGTTTGTTGAAAAAAAAAAAAAAAAGATATGCACATGTTCCTCACCTAAACTAGTATTTCATAGAATTACCCTTCTGGATGCACTCCTTAAATCTCCTAGGCACTGATAAGGCTAATGTATGGAGGATAGAAAAGTAAATACCCTCTTATACTTAATTAACTGCACTCAAAATTTTAGGGTTAGAGGACACATCCATACCATGAAGCGTATGCTTAATAAGTTTGCAAATGTTCACCATTGGATTAGAGTCCTGCAAATTTCTGGGCTAGTCATTAATGTGTGGAAAACTACAATTAGTAAATTCTTTATATCTTTGGCATTATTTTCCATGCAAAGGTTGCCCTGGCACTTCTTGAATGTCAGGCAAATAGTCTGTTACAGACGTACTTATTTGCCTGCATATTTATGGCACCTACTGTATAACTTGTATCACACTCAATTCCAAGTACATACTATAAAGAAATATTAAACTGGATATGCAGTTTTTTAAATATGCCTACACAATTTTTTTTTAAATAATTTAGCCCAAAAATAATAGTAATAAAGAAAAAATACTTTAAAAATACTATAGAATCTATACAGCATTAAATGTTTCTAGTAGGTATTACTGCACTGAGAGGATGAGATAACTTAAAAGTTATCACAAAATTTCATTCCATGTTTAAGGATTGAATTTAAGTTTTATTTTCTTGTTCATTTAAATGCTAGAGTACACTGCAACAAAAAAAAAAAATGAAGTGCACCAAAAATGTTCAATTATTATACAAGACAAAGCACCATATTATTGATGAAATACAATACCAACAGGTTGATGAATAAGACACGTGTATGAGCAACACTTGGATATCTTTATCGCTAAAATGATTTGTTTGCACAACAGTCTTCATCAGTCCAATATAGGCAAATGAAACACTGCAGACATTAATAACAGTTTTGACATGATCAATCCATCAACCTTTGCTGAAGGTGGACAGAATGATTGCAAAGGTAACAAATGACAAACAACAAAAAACAAAAACAAAAAAAAAAAATACTAGTACTACAGTACTACTATTGTAATGTATTTTATTTGCCTGTATTCTATTGAAGTTACATGTGCAGGCAAAACTTTTTTGGCACTAGTCTTTTTCCATCAAGACAAAGTACAGTTAGCCAACTTTATCATTACATGAAGGCATATTTTAGATTAAAATTATAGATATTTCCCATACAGTACTGAGTATGACTTTGTTCTTTAAATCTTATACAACCTTTATTACATTGAATATTTTTCATTATTAATATAGATATTTTGAAGTTCATTCCATTTTTACTGTAAACACCATACTTATACACACACTCCCCAAACTCATTCACCAAACCTTGCAAATTCTCACCAAAATTTACCAGAGAAATGTCATCAACGAAAAGCAGCTGTGACAACTACTACTTCGTATCAGATTCATACCTTTCAGTGAATGTGTATGCACTATTACCTTCAAAAAGACCACTGCCCCCACACTAGCCAGTAGTTAATTTTCCGAGACTTGGAAAAATTACTACACGCTCTATTAAAAACATTATATATCAAGTATGACTGTATTCTGTGGTGCCTTGATGCTGAATATACTTGCAAATATCTGGGGTCTGGAGTACCACAGGATGGTGGCAACTGCTGTTGTGGTCACTAAGGAGGCCAAAATTCGTCGCTGCCACATTCTACCATTATCTCTGCAATCTGTAATGAGATCTGCTGTGCTGTACTCGGCATTTCCACTTACCTGTAAAATCACACATTTGGTGTTATAAGTAAACACTACTCTTATTGTATCTGCTGCAACATTATTCTTGGCAAGTAAATACAGCAAACACAGAAGTTGTAACATTCTCAAAGATCTTACCTTATCAAGGTGACTTTTAAAGAACCTTAGTTCCTCTTGAAGACCCTGTATAAATTTCATTGAGTCCCCACACTGTGATGACAGAGAGGAAACAGAATGAACATCCAGGCCTAACTGCAAAAGCCTAGGATTACCCTGAATTTGGTCTCGCAGATACCCTACTGATGCATGGATGTAGCGAATATGCTTGTTGATATTGGCTATTAAAGCAGCAGCCTCTGGAACCCTATAACATAAAACTACATATTATTCAATTTACTGAAGTCTCTAGAAAACGCTACACATAATTAACGAAGGTGATGGTAACCGCTGTTATACTTGTACTATATTAGGTCCATATATGACATCCTTATATACCCCCAGACAACTTCATAAAAACCAAATAAATCTTTGTAATTGCATTTTCCTTGCTAAGAATTAATTATCCATGTAATATGTACTTTGAAAAATTTTCATATTTATTCCTTGTGGTATATATATATGTATTTCTCTGTCACAACTCGTACTTTGTGTGCCTGTCTTAGCCACATGCAGCCAGGAAAATTAGCTTTTGGTATCTAACATGTAAACATTGTTGTTGAATCTGTAGTGTGCACACAGATATCACAGCTAAATTAGTCTTGGAAACATGTTGCAACTGTCAAGTTATTCTATAATTTTAAAATGCCAATATAAAAAACAGACTAACACACTGTGCTGAAAAAAATAAAATAAAGATACATGTAGTTACAAAGTAGACTCGAAAACACCAATCTTATGTAGATGTAACTGATTTAACTTACGTAATATTTGCATTCGCTGCCACATTTGGCAGACTTGAAGTTTGCCACTCTTTTTTGTGTATTTCTTTAATTGAAAGTAAAATCTTCTTTCGCTCTCCTACAGCAGTTACATTCATGTTTTCAAGGTCTTTCTCTGATAAGCGTAGAAACAACTCAAATGACACCTTTAAATATAAGAAATAATATGAAGCAGAAACTTAAGAGCAGAATTTGTTAATTTCTTAGTATATGAAATGCCAGTTATATAGAAAAAATTGTTATATATATAAATGGGTATTTTAATAAAGAACTAAGAAAAAAGCATGACAGTCAAACTTTAATTAGTCCAGAAAATTAGCTCCAGATGATTTGATAGAAAGCATAGTGCTATTAAGAGTTTTTATGAGGATAATGAGGTTCCAATTAGGGGTGTGTAGGAGAGAGGGTGATTACTTTCCAGTAAAAGCAAGCCTTAGACAGGGACTAATGATGTCACCATCATTCTTTAACATATTTATAGATGAGGTTGTAAAAAATAGTAAATGCTAGGGTGTTGGGGAGAGGGGTGGGATTAAAATATGTAGATTCCAATACAAAATGGGAGTTGGCAGTTACTTTTTGCTGATGACACTTTGCTTTTGAGAGATTCTGAAGATAAGATGCAAAGGTTAGTGAATGAGTTTGGGAGGGTGTGTAAAGGAACAAAGTTGAAAGTGAACATAGATAAGAGTAAGGTGATGAGAGTATCAAATGAGTCAGGTAATGAAAAATTGGATATCAGACTGGAGGGAGGGAATATAAAGGAAGTGAATGTGTTCAGGTATTTGGGATTGGATGCATTGTCAGATGGGTATATGAAAAACTAGGTAGGATTTGTGGAGACAAAGAATGTTATCCAGGAAGGCAAGGAGAGGAATGAGTGTACAGTGGCATCAACACTCTTATATGGGTGTGAAGCATGGGTTGTGAATGTTGCATTGAGGAGGAGGTTGGAGGCTGTAGAGATGTTGTGTCTGAGGGAAATTTGTGGTGCAAATATTATGCAGATAATTTGTAGTTTGGAGACTAGGAGGTGTGGAGTTACTAAAGGTATTATCCAGAAGACTTAGAAGGGGTTGTTGAGGTGGTGTGGTTATTTAGATAGGGTGGAGCAAAATAGGATGACTTGGAGGGTGTATAAATCTGTAGTGGAGGGGATGGAGGGAAGGCAGGGTAGGGGGGTTGTCACAGGAAAGGATGGAGGAGGCAAGCGAGGTTTTGTGTGCAAGGGGCCTACAGCAGGCATGTACAAGAGTGTTAGACAGGAGTGAAGACAAATGTTTTTTTCAACCTGATGAGCTGTTGGAGTGTAAAGAAGGTAATATTTTGTGAAGGGATTCAGGGAAACTGGTTAGCTGGTCTCGAGTCCTGGAGGTGGGAAGTACAGTTCCTGCACTCTCAAGGAGGGGGTTTGGGATATTTGCTGTTTGGAGGGACATCTGAACTGTCACATCTGCATGCCTCTGGCAAGACAGTAATAGTGTGAATGATGGAGAAAGTGTTTATTTTTCGGGTCACCATATCTTGGTGGGAGACAGCCAACGTGTTAAAAGAAAAAACTAAACAAACCCTTTTCATATACATGTAGGTTTTATTTGACATTTAAACATTATATTCTTATCCCACATGCTCCCTCTTGCAATAAAAGTTTTTAGTACATGATAAATAGAAGTCAAGCAGTAGAAAAAATCCTTGAAGTGCTTACTTGGTGCTGCTTAAACACAGGGATCAAGTGTGATAAATACAGCCCTGTCAACACCATCTCGAGCTCTCCAAATTCATGGGCTGTCTTGTTATCTAAGGAGTGCTTAACCAAAAGTTTTTCAGCATCATTTTCCATGAGTGGTACATTGGCACCTCCAGCAGCCACACGGTCCAGAATGTCTGCAATCTAGAAAGCAACAAGACAAATAATAAAAAAAATACGAGACTAATGGTGAAAGTTGTCACTCTTGAGACAAGATCTATTAAAGGAGTGAAACGCAATGAGTCATTAAAAATAATACAAGTCACCATCTTACATACACCCTAAGATATAAACATCTGCGCCTTCAAAAGGGACACTAAGGAACCAATTAGTTTCACATCAGCTAATTTGAAGTGCAAACATTTGTGCAGCAACTGTCTTTTTTTTTTTTTTTTTACTAGTGTTTCCTATACAAACAATTTGCTTTTAAGCTGAAAGGACAGGAATGCAATTAAGCTGGCCATTTTCAGTAAAGTATATGTTCCAGCTTATGAAGAAAGAACGATAATGTAGAATAGAAAATGGAAGGTACTATCAAGTAATGTTAAAGGCGAGAAAACTAGTATTCTATTGAGAGATTACATGTACAGGTAGTTGTTAAAAATGCTGAAATTATGTAGGGATGTCTGACACAGTAACATCATAGTCTGAGACCTAGACAAGCCAACAGCCAGGAGCTCCAGCATATTTATACAGTAATTATTCCCTTTTATTAAATATGAAAAGCGGAACGTATGTATAGTAATCTAAACCATCTCCATCTCCAGACAAAAAGTAAGAAGTAGAGTATTATATTTGCCATTAAAGTCCTATAGTAGAGTATATTGAACAAAAAATTAATTTAAGAACTCTGCGATGTCAGCAATGATAAGCAACACATTTCCTGATCTATAATCCTACCTGAACAAATTCTCACCTCAGGGTAGCCTGCTGTAAGTGCAATATCTGCTGCTCTTTGGCCATGAGTGTTCATTTTTAATGGATCAGCCGAGTGCTGCAGCAAGATCCGTACAACTTTCCCATGACCTCTTGTTGCTGCCCAGCAGAGAGCAGTCCACCTAATGTAGAAGATTTAAATCTAAGTGTTCAATATTTTTATTTATTTGGTGAAATGAATAGATTTACACAGTCATTTTCTATACCCACCTGGAACTTTGCTAAACTATAAGAAAGTGTAATGTAGTAAAGGGAAAGTTATACAGTACAGTGATAACTTTGTTTTCCACATACAGGATAGAGAATATTTTAATACTGTATCTGAATTAGAGGTAAGAGAGAGTAGGATTGCAGATGAGCAAGGAGGCTTTACAGTGGGTAGGGGATGTGGAGATCAAGTGTTTACATTGAAGCATATATGCGAACAGTATTTAGATAAAGGTAGGGAAGTTTTTATTGCATTTATGGATTTAGAAAAGGCATATGATAGAGTGGATAGAGGAGCAATGTGGCAGATGTTGCAAGTACATATATGGAATAGGTAGTAAGTTACTAAATGCTGTAAAGAGTTTTTATGAGGATAGTGAGGCTCAGGTTAGGGTATGTAGAAGAGAGGGAGATTACTTCCTGGTAAAAGTAGGTCTTAGACAGGGATGTGTAATGTCACCATGGTTGTTTAATATATTTATAGATGGGATTGTAAAAGAAGTAAATGCTAGGGTGTTGGGGAGAGGGGTGGGATTAAATTATGGGGAATCAAATACAAAATGGGAGTTGACAGTTACTTTTTGCTAATGATACTGTGCTTATGGGAGATTCTAAAGAAAAGTTACAAAGGTTAGTGGACGAGTTTGGGAGGGTATGTAAAGGTAGAAAGTTGAAAGTGAACATAGATAAGAGTAAGGTGATGAGGGTATCAAATGATTTGGATAAAGAAAAATTGGATATCACATTGGAGAGAGGGAGTATGGAAGAAGTGAATGTTTTTAGAAGTTGGGAGTTGATGTGTCAGCAGATGGGTTTATGAAGGATGAGGTTAACCATAAAATTGATGAAGGAAAAAAGGCGAATGGTGCGTTGAGGTATATTTTATTATTATTTTTTTTTATTATCACACTGGCCGATTCCCACCAAGGCAGGGTGGCCCGAAAAAGAAAAACTTTCACCATCATTCACTCCATCACTGTCTTGCCAGAAGGGTGCTTTACACTACAGTTTTTAAACTGCAACATTAACACCCCTCCTTCAGAGTGCAGGCACTGTACTTCCCATCTCCAGGACTCCAGTCCGGCCTGCCGGTTTCTCTGAATCCCTTCATAAATGTTACTTTGCTCACACTCCAACAGCACGTCAAATATTAAAAACCATTTGTCTCCATTCATTCCTATCAAACACGCTCACGCATGCCCGCAGGAAGTCAAAGCCCCTCACACACAAAACCTCCTTTACCCCCTCCCACCAACCTTTCCTAGGCTGACCCCTACCCCGCCTTCCTTCCACTACAGACTGATACACTCTTGAAGTCATTCTGTTTCGCTCCATTCTCTCTACATGTCCGAACCACCTCAACAACCCTTCCTCAGCCCTCTGGACAACAGTTTTGGTAATCCCGCACCTCCTCCTAACTTCCAAACTATGAATTCTCTGCATTATATTCACACCACACATTGCCCTCAGACATGACATCTCCACTGCCTCCAGCCTTCTCCTCGCTGCAACATTCATCACCCACGCTTCACACCCATATAAGAGCGTTGGTAAAACTATACTCTCATACATTCCCCTCTCTGCCTCCAAGGACAAAGTTCTTTGTCTCCACAGACTCCTAAGTGCACCACTCACCCTTTTCCCCTCATCATTCTATTATTCACCTCATCTTGACCCATCCGCTGACACATCCACTCCCAAATATCTGAATACGTACATTCACCTCCTCCATACTCTCTCCCTCCAATCTGATATCCAATCTTTCATCACCTAATCTTTTTGTTATCCTCATAACCTTACTCTTTCCTGTATTCACTTTTAATTTTCTTCTTTTGCATACCCTACCAAATTCATCCACCAATCTCTGCAACTTCTCTTCAGAATCTCCCAAGAGCACAGTGTCATCAGCAAAGAGCAACTGTGACAACTCCCACTTTATGTGTGATTCTTTATCTTTTAACTCCACGCCTCTTGCCAAGACCCTCGCATTTACTTCTCTTACAACCCCATCTATAAATATATTAAACAACCACGGTGACATCACACATCCTTGTCTAAGGCCTACTTTTACTGGGAAATAATTTCCCTCTTTCCTACATACTCTAACTTGAGCCTCACTATCCTCGTAAAAACTCTTCACTGCTTTCAGTAACCTACCTCCTACACCATACACCTGCAACATCTGCCACATTGCCCCCCTATCCACCCTGTCATACGCCTTTTCCAAATCCATAAATGCCACAAAGACCTCTTTAGCCTTATCTAAATACTGTTCACTTATATGTTTCACTGTAAACACCTGGTCCACACACCCCCTACCTTTCCTAAAGCCTCCTTGTTCATCTGCTATCCTATTCTCCGTCTTACTCTTAATCCTTTCAATAATAACTCTACCATACACTTTACCAGGTATACTCAACAGACTTATCCCCCTATAGTTTTTGCACTCTCTTTTGTCCCCTTTGCCTTTATACAAAGGAACTATGCATGCTCTCTGCCAATCCCTAGGTACCTTACCCTCTTCCATACATTTATTAAATAATTGCACCAACCACTCCAAAACTATATCCCCACCTGCTTTTAACATTTCTATCTTTATCCCATCAATCCCGGCTGCCTTACCCCCTTTCATTTTACCTACTGCCTCACGAACTTCCCCCACACTCACAACTGGCTCTTCCTCACTCCCACAAGATGATATTCCTCCTTGCCCTATACACGAAATCACAGCTTCCCTATCTTCATCAACATTTAACAATTCCTCAAAATATTCCCTCCATCTTCCCAATACCTCTAACTCTCCATTTAATAACTCTCCTCTCCTATTTTTAACTGACAAATCCATTTGTTCTCTAGGCTTCCTTAACTTGTTAATCTCGCTCCAAAACTTTCTTATTTTCAACAAAATTTGTTGATAACATCTCACCCACTCTCTCATTTGCTCTCTTTTTACATTGCTTCACCACTCTCTTAACCTCTCTCTTTTTCTCCATATACTCTTCCCTCCTTGCATCACTTCTACTTTGTAAAAACTTCTCATATGCTAACTTTTTCTCCCTTACTACTCTCTTTACATTATCATTCCACCAATCGCTCCTCTTCCCTCCCGCACCCACTTTCCTGTAACCACAAACTTCTGCTGAACACTCTAACACTACATTTTTAAACCTACCCCATACCTCTTCGACCCCATTGCCTATGCTCTCATTAGTCCATCAAACCTCCAATAGCTGTTTATATCTTACCCTAACTGCCTCCTCTTTTAGTTTATAAACCTTCACCTCTCTCTTCCCTGATGCTTCTCTTCTCCTTGTATCCCATCTACCTTTTATTCTCAGTGTAGCTACAACTAGAAAGTGATCTGATATATCTGTGGCCCCTCTATAAACATGTACATCCTGAAGTCTACTCAACAGTCTTTTATCTACCAATACATAATCCAACAGACTACTGTCATTTTGCCCTACATCATATCTTGTATACTTATTTATCCTCTTTTTCTTAAAATATGTATTACCTATAACTAAACCCTTTTCTATACAAAGTTCAATCAAAGGGCTCCCATTATCATTTACACCTGGCACTCCAGACTTACCTACCACACCCTCTCTAAAAGTTTATCCTACTTTAGCATTCAGGTCCCCTACCACAATTACTCTCTCACTTGGTTCAAAGGCTCCTATACATTCACTTAACTTCTCCCAAAATCTCTCTCTCTCCTCTACATTCCTCTCTTCTCCAGGTGCATACACGCTTATTATGACCCACTTTTCGAATCCAACCTTTACTTTAATCCACATAATTCTTGAATTTACACATTCATATTCTCTTTTCTCCTTCCATAACTGATCCTTCAACATTACTGCTACCCCTTCCTTTGCTCTAACTCTCTCAGATACTCCAGATTTAATCCCATTTATTTCCCCCCACCGAAACTCCCCTACCCCCTTCAGCTTTGTTTCGCTTAGGGCCAGGACATCCAACTTCTTTTCATTCATAACATCAGCAATCATCTGTTTCTTGTCATCCACACTACATCCATGCACCTTCAAGCATCCCAGTTTTATAAAGTTTTTCTTCTTCTCTTTTTTAGTAAATGTCTACAGGAGAAGGGGTTACTAGCCCATTGCTCCCGGCATTTTAGTCGCCTCATACGACACGCATGGCTTACGGAGGCAAGATTCTTTTCCACTTCCCCATGGACAATAGAAGAAATAAAGAAGAACAAGAGCTATTTAGAAAAAAGAGAAAAAACCTAGACGTATGTATATATATATGCATGTGCGTGTCTGTGAAGTGTGACCAAAGTGTAAGTAGGAGTAACAAGATATCCCTGTTATCTAGCGTGTTTATGAGACAGAAGTATATGTATATGTGGTATATGTGGAGACAAAAAATGTTATCTATGAAGGCAAAGAAGGGAATGTATGAAAGTATAGTGGTACCAACACTCTTATATGGGCATGAAGCTTGGGTTGTAAATGCTGCAGCAAGGAAGTGGTTAGAGGCAGTGGAGATGTTTTGCTTAGGGGCAATGTGTGGTGTAAATATTATGCAGAAAATTTGGAGTGTGGAAATTAGGAGAAAGTGTGGAGCTAATAAAAGTATTAGTCAGAGGGCTGAAGAGGGTTTGTTGAGTAGATTTGGTCGTTGTTGAGGTGGTTTGGTCATTTAGAGAGAATGGATCAAAGTAGAATGACATGGAGAGCGTATAAATCTGTAGGGGAAGGAAGGCCGGGGAGGGGGGGAGGTAACGGAGGGAGCTGGTAAAGGAGGTTTGTGGGTGAGGGGCTTGGACTTCCAGCAAGCATGTGTGAGCGTGTTAGATAAGAGTGAATGGAGATGAATGGTTATTGGGACCTGACGAGCTCTTGGGGTGTGAAGGGTTTGGGATATTGGTAGTTTGGAGGGATATGTTATATATCTTTATATATGCTTCTAAACTCTTGTATCTGGACGCCTCTGCAAAAACAGTGATTATGTATGAGCGAGGTGAAAGTGTTGAATGATGATGAAAGCATTTTCTTTTCGGGATTTTCTTTCTTTTTGGGTCACCCTGCCTCGGTGGGAGACGGCTGACTTGTTGAGGAAAAAAAAAGAAAAACTTAGCATATATGAATCCTGTATTCTGAGTGCTGTACAGTAGTTTTCTGTAAACAGATAAGAAGAGAGAGACAATAAATTTGTTGAAATAATTCACAACTTCAAGTCTTGAAATTTAATCTGTATTACTGCCATGTATCATTGCCTGGGTAAGCTTTCTGGGGCCAACACCCCCCATGAAACTGTCCTACACTAGGCCTCACAATGAATGGCCTGATCAACCAGGCTGTCAGTGCTACTGCACATAGTCCATATATGTGCTACAGCCTGGGTGAGCAGAAACTGACTTGAGGACCTTATCAAGTTCTCTCTTCAAGAAAGCTAAGTCTCTCATAGTTACATGTTTAACCAAACCAAATAATTGCTGCTCTACATAGTGTACACTGTTCTCGTACAATCTGCTGGGGTTATGTTCTGTTATTAGGGCCTTGAAAAGAGAAGTGGCAAACTATAAACCGAAATGTTAAATAAGAACTAGATTGTACTCCCCTAAATTACTGCAATCTTGCTCATTGTAATGCTGAACATTAGCAATGAGAAGCTTCAGAACCACTGAGATTGTGTACAGTACCACACATGATGCTTCTCATTTACTGCATTGTCTACATTTATGAAAAGTGGGATTATGTAATAATGAGAAAAATGATTAAGAGCAAGGAGTCACAAAAGATGCCTTATTTGAGAAATCTGGGTCAAAAAAATATAAATAAATGGAGGAATCTACAGGATTCTTTTCGGAACAAAAGTGATAAATAGGAAACTGAGGAATAGCAGACTCTCTCACCTCTATTTTCAACTAAGAATAATGTTGAACAAATACATAATTCCTAGGTAGTAGGTTGGTAAACAGCAACCGCCCAGGGAGGTACTACCGTCCTGCCAAGTGAGTGTACAACGAAAACCTGTAATTGTTTTACATGATGGTAGGATTGCTGGTGTCTTTTGTCTGTCTCATAAACATGCAAGATTTCAGGTATGTCTTGCTACTTCTACTTGCACTTAGGTCACACTACACATACATGTACAAGCATGTATATACACACCCCTCTGGGTATTCTTCTATTCTCTTTCTAGTTCTTGTTCTTGTTTATTTTCTCTTATCTCCATGGGGAAGTGGAACAGAGTTCTTCCTCCATAAGCCATGCGTGTTGTAAGAGGTGACTAAAATGCCGGGAGCAAGGGACTAGTAAACCCCTTCTCCCGTATAAATTACTAAATTTAAAAGAGAAACTTTCGTTTTTCTTTTTGGGCCACCCTGCCTTGGTGGGATATGGCCGGTGTGCTGAAAGAAAGAAAGAAGAAATACATAATTACTCGAGTGCACTGAGCAGCATACCCTTTGTTATCTTGCTTGTTGATATCAGCTTTTGCATCAATGAGTGCCTCAACAATTGTTGCACGCCCTTCTTTACTGGCAAACATGAGGGCAGTCATGCGATGCCGCTCTGCTGCATCCACTTTAGCACCATAACTGAGCAATAATTTCACACAGTCCAGAAGGTCTGGTTCAGATTCACGACTTGAAGCACATGCTGCCATGAGAGCAGTGAACAACTCTGAGAAAGAAACAGTAGTTTAAGAAACTTAAAAAAAAAAAAAAAAAAAAAAATGGGAATATCAATAAAGTTTACCAGTGAATTCTATTCTTAGAATTTTTTTTCTTTTTAAATTTAGACTCTTACTGGTTAGAACTTATTATTGATTTAAGGTCTTACTGGTTTATGCTCATTAATAGAGATATTCATATGAATGACAGATTTGGATGCGAGAAAACTCAGTGAGCACATTTTGAAATAAAATCTATACTAAGCTTTCAACTGAAGGGTCAGGCACCAACCCAGAACACAATGGGCACAAAAAAAAAAATGCAAATACAGTATTCTAAATTCTTCATGGGAGACCTTTCAGTACAAACATTAGCTAGGTGAATTATGTAAATCTGGAGGTCTGACCATAATATGTAAAGAACATGCTGAACATATACAAGACTACATCATTCAAACATTAATTTTAATTTACTCCACATACAAATCTTCTATGTTTATTTCTGTGCATACTATACATATATACAGGTGTAACTATTATGCAGAGAATTTGTAGTGTGGAAATTAGGAGGAGGTGTGCAGTTACTAAAAGTATTAGTTAGAGGGCTGAAGAGGGGCTGTTGAGGTAATTTGGTCATTTAGAGACAATGGATCAAAGTAGAGTGACATGGAGAGTGTATAAATCTATAGGGGAAGGAAGGTGGGGTAGGGGTTGTCCCCGAAAAGGTTGGGAGGGAGGGGGTTAAAGGAAGCTTTGTGGGCGAGGGGCTTGGACTTCCAGCAAGTGTGCATGAGCGTGTTACATAGGAGTGAATGGAGACGAATAGTTTTTGGGACCTGACGAGCTGTTGAAGTGTGAGCAGGGTAATATTTTGTGAAGGGATTCAGGGAAACTGGTTAGCCGGACTTGAGTCCTGGAAATGGGAAGTACAATGCCTGCACTTTAAAGGAGGGGTTTGGGATATTGGCAGTTTGGAGGGACATCTAAACTGTTGTATCTGAGTGCCTCTGCAAAAGACAGTGATTATGTATGAGTGATGGTGAAAGTGTTGAATGATGAAAGTTTTTTCTGTCTTTTGGGGTTTTTTCTTTCTTTTTGGGTCACCTTGCCTCGGTGGGAAATGGTCGAAGTGTTAAAAAAAAAAAAATTAGTACATATATTAATGCATCCTAAAGCTTTTCTTGGCCAGCTGCAACAGAATGCATAGACAATGCAAAAAAAAAAAAAAAAAAAAAATTTTTGATATCCCATGTGTTCACCTCAACCTGAGAAGAATCTAAGCAAATAAAAGAGACAAGAGAAAAAAAAATACAAGTGCCAGAAAATTCAGAGTCCCCAATCTGCCAACCATTTCAAAAATAGTTAAAAATGTCTCAATTTGATGTAAATTTACAAAGATTACAATCAGTTTTCATACTCATGCACTTATTCTCACCACTGAATGTCTATTCCTAAATAATTAAAATTTAAACTGTCAATAGTTATTTATTAGAATGCTTTCTATCCATATTAAGCCTTTCACTGTCCAGACCCCAAAAATTAATATTGCTCTAAGTGTTCACATTAAAAAAAAATCTTTTGAAATGGTAGAGAATCTTTTTCTGAAAATAATGATGCCAAAAAAACAAAATTTTATTGAAAACTTACAGAATTATGCAGGTGTAAAATTAGTGGTGCATTCAATAAGGATGCCGTGGTGTAATAAGGATGTTGTCAATGTATTGCATATAGTTGATGTTCCGGGACTTGTTTGAGAAAAAGCTCACTTTCGAGATGCTCCTTACAGAGGTTGGCTATTACAGTGGACCCCCGGTTCGCGATGCTATCGGTATCTGATAAATCTGGTAACCGATGCATTATATCGCCAAAAATTTGCCTCGGTTCCCGTTACAAAACCCGGTATGCGATATGATTCGTACGAGACGTGTCCAGTGTTTACAAGCCAGCCAGTGTGCGCGCATCTAAGGATACATTCGGTACATTCCATATTATCCACATTATCACTGTTTTTGGTGCTTGTTTCTGCAAAATAAGTCACCATGGGCCCCAAGAAAGCTTCTAGTGCCAACCCTTCAAGACCAAGGGTGCTAATGACTATTGAAATGAAGAAAGAGATAATTGCAAAGTATGAAAGGTTAGTGTGTGTATCAGAGCTGGTCAGGTTGTATAGTAAACCCCAATCAACCATCTCTACTACAGTGGACCCTCGACCAACGATGGCATCGATTAACGATAAATCAGATTAGCGATACATTTTAACGCAAAAATTTTGCCTCGGCTAGCGCTAAAAAACTTGACCAACACTATTCATTCCGTCTGAGATGCGTCCACTTCTGGCCAGTGTTTACAAGCCAGCCAGCCACCACGGTCGCTTCCAAGCATACAATCGGAACATTTCATATTATCACAGCCTTTTTAGTGATTGCACCTGCAAAATAAGTCACCATGGGCCCCAAGAAAGCTTCTAGTGCCAACCCTACAGCAAAAAGGGTGAGAATTACTATGGATATGAAGAAAGAGATCATTGCTAAGTATGAAAGTGGAGTGCATGTCTCCGAGCTGGCCAGGTTGTACACAAAATCCCAATCAACCATCGCTACTATTGTGGGCAAGAAAACGGCAATCAAGGAAGCTGCTCTTGCCAAAGGTGCAACTATGTTTTCGAAACTGAGATCACAAGTACTCAAAGATGTTGAGAGACTGTTATTGGTGTGGATAAACGAAAAACAGATAGCTGCCAGTTCAGACCAAAAAGTTGCTGAAAAATATGTGCATGAATTCAAGGAGTACATAGAGGCTGAAGGATTGAAACCTGAACAAGTGTTTAATTGTGACAAAACAGGCCTGTTTTGGAAGAAATTGCCAAGCAGGACCTACATTACTCAGGAGGAAAAGCTACCTCAAGTCCTAATGGAGGGGGATTCCCCTTCTAAACAATAGGTTCAACACACTCCCCTCCTCCCATCTCATCAATCATCACCAGATCTTCATTAACCCCTTCAGGGTCCAAGGCCCAAATCTGAAGTGGTGCCCCAGTGTCCAAGAATTTAAAAAAAAAAATTTTGTTATTTTTTCTTATGAAATGGTAGAGAATCTTTTTGTGAAGGTAATAAAACAAAAAGTACGAAATTTGATGGAAAATTGACGAAATTATGCTCTCGCGAATTTTGATGTGTCAGCGATATTTACGAATCGGCGATTTTGCCGACTTTGACTCCCATTTTAGGCCAATTACATTATTCCAGTCAACCAAATTCATAGCTATTTCACTAGTATTACTTCTATTCTATCGATTGAGCACAAGAAATCGCCAAGTCAACTGTTTCAACTACAAATTAAAGTGATCAGAAATTGTTAATTTGGCCAATTTAACACAAAGTTCAAAATATTCCAATTTCAAAATAGGGTCCAGAATAAACAATGTAGGTATTCCTGGAACTAAACTAACATTTCCTCTGTTCATTAGTTACGTTTTGAGGCTTTACAAATAAATTCCATTTTGATTTTTTATTCACATAATGAATTTTTATTCACACCAAAAAATAGAAGATTTACTGTTATGCAATACTGTAATAATTGTATAAATATCATCACCATATTTGTGAATGCATATTAGACCCACCGGCTGGCGTGTACTAGACGTGTGAGGTCATTTGTTTACTCTTGAATATCGGCAAAAATTTAACATTTCTGCTACTTTGAGCTCAGTTTCAAGCCATTTCCAGTGCGAAAACCAATCAAAATCATCTCTATTTCTGTAATATGTCTTCCATTCTATCAAATGAGACCAAGAAATCGCAAATAGAACTACAAAAAACCTACGAAAAAACACTGCAAAGTCGCTGTTTTAATCGAAAAATCATGATTTCATTTTTTTTCTCTCATTATACACAGCGTGCTGCAGGATCTGTTTTATGTGGTGCACACATACCACATAGATGTATTCTCTCATATCTAGGCCCAAATGTACCACTCACAGTTTATCAGAGTGAGCTGAGCTCATAACGTAGATCTACGGTTTGGACCCTGAACGTAAAGCCGTAGATCTACGGGACGGACCCTCAAAGGGTTAAAGGTAAGTGTCAATTATTCTATTGTTATTATTCTGTCATTGTTGTTATTGTAATTATTCTATTGCATTAAACTTAATATTTCATGTGGTAAAAGTTTTTTTTTCATACTTTTGGGTGTCTTGCACGGATTAATTTGATTTCCATTATTTCTTATGGGGAAAATTGATTCGCTTTCCGATAATTTTGGTTTACGATGAGCTCTCAGGAACGGATTAATATTGCGAACCGGGGGTCCACTGTACTTTGTTAAGAGATGAACCCACTTTCATTGTATAATTTGATAAACTCTTTCCAATTAAGTGGGGTATATCCATCAACTTTTGCTAGAAAAGTGGATGGATATACCCACCAGTCTCAAGTAATACAGCTTAGTGGTTCATTACCTCATTACATATTGTATTCAGTTTTTTTGCTAACCACCTCAATTGTGAAATACAAATACCCATCATGTAACTGAGAATACTAATGTAACAACTTACCTTTATGGAGATTAGGGTCTGCATTTTGTTGCAGCAGAAACTCAGCCACCTTAGGTTTGCCACAAGAGCAAACATACATCAAGCAAGTCCAGCCAGACTTTAGAATCTGATCAATAGCAATGCCTGAAAACGTAGAAAAATGATAGCAGTACTGGATATAAAATTTAATATAGTAGTATTAACAGATATGACTTAAGAATTCTTTATTTCAAATTCTGAGGGTGAAGTTTCACACAAGAATTTAAAGCATACAGTACAGTACATGTACAGTGTATGTACTGTATATTGATATATTGGCATGCTACAGTGTATTACCTTGTTTAACTAAAGATTTTACCACAGGTAAATTCCCATGCATTGCCGCCATACGGAATTCATCAAAGGGGAGTGAGTAACCCTCGTACATTTGCACTTGCCTCCATGATCTTCCCCCGCAAGATGCTGGACTATAATTTTTATGAGAGCTGCACAACAGTGTTGAACTGGATGCTGTTCAGAATAAAATACACAAATTGCTAATGAATGCTCATTTTGTAGTTAAAACTTTCTGAAATATTTCCACAATTGGCCTCATCGAAATACCGTATTATACATAAATATTATGCAAGGGGCTAGTAACCTCTTCTCCTGGATTAATTACTGAATGTAAAAAAAAAAAAATTATAATGTTTCTTCTTTCTTCAGGTTACTATCTCGGTGGGAGATGGCCAGTGTCTTAAAAAATAAATTATATAAGTTCCAGGGAATAACTGTACCCAGCAGTCTGCTGAAAATTTACACAACAGACTGAACTGATTATGGTTTTCCTATACACTGAATATAAAAGATTGCAAATAGAGAGATACAAACAGGCCATGTCCACAGGGTCACAAATCCAGTATTTAACTTGGGTGATTAACTTGAACATTACTCACACTATAAGTCCAATGACAGTGTGTTGTGTATATGTTTAATATATTGACTATGAGCAAAAAATTATTAAATAAATTATTGTGGGCATAAGAATTACAGTTATAGGTAGTAGGTTGGTAGACAGCAACCGCCCAGGGAGGTGCTACCGTCCTGCCAAGTGAGTGTAAAACGAAAGCCTGTAATTGTTTTACATGATGGTAGGATTGCTGGTGTCCTTTTTTCTGTCTCATGAACATGCAAAATTTCAGGTACGTCTTGCTACTTCTACTTACACTCAGGTCACACTACACATACATGTACAAGCATATATATACATACCCCTCTGGGTTTATTCTATTTTCTTTCTAGTTCCTGTTCTTGTTTATTTCCTCTTATCTCCATGGGGAAGTGGAACAGAATTCTTCCTCCGTAGGCCATGCGTGTTGTAAGAGGCGACTAAAATGCCGGGAGTAAGGGGCTAGTAACCCCTTCTCCTGTATATATTACTAAATTTGAAAGGAGAAACTTTGGTTTTTTCTTTTGGGCCACCCCGCCTCGGTGGGATACGGCCGGTGTGTTGAAAGAAAGAATAATTACAGTACAGTATTATAACTAATGCATATAAAAAAAAGGAAGCCATTAACCCTTAAACAGTCCAATGAGATTGACGTTCAAATTCGTAGTGCTACAAAAGTAGATCTACTTTTTTTTTACATATTTTCAAATATAACAAAAAAAAAAATGTAGATAAAAGTTTTTTTACACATTTTCAAATGTAAAACAAAAAAGACCTACATTTTTTTACATACTTTCAGATGTTGAAAAAAACGTATATATACGTTTGGACCATTTAAGGGTTAAAACAAGTGAAGACAAAACTAAGCTGAAAGAAAAGAGATTTACGTCATAAGAGATTTATGCCCATAATCAAATAGGTACTGTAAGAAGCAAAGTGAAAAAATATTGAAGTATATAAAATTATTATGTATGGCAGTCTGTAGCCCAGTGTCACATCATTTATGATGTAAAATCTGATGCAAGTTTATGAAACTGTTGCAGTGCATTTAATTAAGATAACTGCAGTATACAGAAGTGTTGAACAATCCTCAAATTGCTTTATTTCCAACCATTTACTATGGACAATATTTCAGTAGCAATTCTAAATTTTAAAACCAAGTGCTTATCAATGTTTTATCATTTTCCTGAGATACTTACATTTCTTATATCCACCGTAATATCTAGAAGGGCTGTTAGCTGGTGCATGCACTGCATTCCCTGACTTTTCTTGTAATTCCCCATTACTGAAACTTCTGACATCACTTCCATTTGATAAGGTAAGTGACCCATTATGCTAAAAAAAAATTAGCCACAAGTTATGTTCATTCATGTTTTTCCATCCTCTCGAACTCTGTACACGCCATCTAACAGGCAATATTAATCTGTTAACCCTTAAACTGTCCAAACGTAGATCTACGTTTTTTTCAACATTTGAAAGTATGTAAAAAAATGTAGAGCTTCTCTTTCTTTTTTTACATTTGAAAACGTGCAAAAAAGCTTTGATCTACATTTTTTTTGTTATACTGTTTGAAAATATGTTAAAAAACATAGATCTACTTTTGGAGCACTACACATGTGAACGTAGATCTGTTCGGACAGTTTAAGGGTTAAATGAGACATAATAAAGTATGATTGCAATATAGTAATGGCAAATTTGGCAGTTGCAAAATTGAACTAACTGCTGTATATGAGCATTCAACAAATAAACTTGAACATTCAGAGGTCTAAAAGTCAGGGTGGTGTAGTCAAAACCAACTTTTACTTCATATAATGAATAAGTGTAGCATTGTAACGGTGCATTTCGTGTATTCTAATGAGACAGCAGCACAGTACAGTGCTCAACTGTACATACACAGTCAAGCATCATTATTCCAAATACACTGCTTCAGAACATGCAGCATTACAGATATAAATATCTAAAAAGACAAAAAAAAATCAATAGGCACTCCCTTTAAAGGTTATGGGTAGGAATATCAGTACATATAACAGTTGAAGGTGTAAAAAGGTTATTTAAAAGGGAGTCTGAAAAATGTCAAACCCAATAATGATTTTGAAACTATACGCTGACTATACTGTACCGTGATTTAGTCCTAGTTGCCACTTCGTTAATTTAAATTTTTTATAGTGATAATACAATACTGCAACAGCAAAATCTCTGTGACCACACCTGAGATAAGTCTCCATTATGGCAACTAGAGTCTGGAGTCTCTGGCAATTCACCATGCCTGCAAATTAAAGAATACAGATTTTACTAAAAGAACTTAATTAAAACCTAATTTACATGATACAGTACCAACCTAATTAAGTAAAAGACAGCAAATCTAGCAGCTGTAGCTCACCGTATTACCTGTATGCAACATGATGATGATCAGTGGCGGCTTGTAACACCAGTAATACCTTGATACTGTCGTACTGCATCAAACTTCTATTTTTAATAATTTTTTATCTCGTTTCAACAAAAAATAAAAATTCGCTTATAAATACATTGAAAACAACATACAACAGATTTTTCCTGTAATAATTTGTCAGTTGCAAATTATTTTAGGGTAAGGTTGAAGTCATACAACTGGCAGTGAGCATCTGGGGGGACTGCAGCTCTGTAGCTCCTATGGACGAGCCACCATTGATGATGATGATAAGCACCTGATGAAATGGAAAGAACCCAACCAGTCATCTGTGAGTGGCCAACAAAGAAGGAAATGCATGGAAGCTGCTTCAATTGCCACCACTAACTATCTAGGCTGGAATATTGCTGCACACTAACAGCACCTTTCAAGGCAGGTGAAATTGCCGACCTAGAAAATGTACAGAGAACTTTCACGGCGCACATAACGGAGATAAAACACCTCAATTACTGGGAGCGCTTGAGGGTCCTAAACCTGTATTCCCTGGAACGCAGGAGGGAGAGATACATGATTATATACACCTGGAAAATCCTAGAGGGACTAGTACCGAACTTGCACACGAAAATCACTCACTACGAAAGCAAAAGACTTGGCAGACGATGCAGCATCCCCCCAATGAAAAGCAGGGGTGTCACTAGCACGTTAAGAGACCATACAATAAGTGTAAGGGGCCCGAGACTGTTCAACTGCCTCCCAGCACACATAAGGGGGATTACCAACAGACCCCTGGCAGTCTTCAAGCTGGCACTGGACAAGCACCTAAAGTCAGTTCCTGATCAGCCGGGCTGTGGCTCGTACGTTGGTTTGCGTGCAGCCAGCAGCAACAGCCTGGTTGATCAGGCTCTGATCCACCAGGAGGCCTGGTCACAGACCGGGCCGCGGGGGCGTTGACCCCTGGAACTCTCTCCAGGTAAACTCCAGGTAACAATCCTGCAAAAATCCATATGTTTCAGTGTTTCCAGAGTCTTAGCCAACGGATTATTACCCAAATTAGTACTGGCTGTCATGTGATACTAATCTATTGCCACCTGACTCACCACTACCCTTGATACATGTTGTCTGTCTCAAGCCACTTTACAAGACTTTTATATTACTCTATATTAGGAATGAAGAAGTCACTTTTGGCAAATTGTGGTATAACTTGAAAACTGCTACTCAATGGATTTTTGCCATAAATTTAGTTTGAATTATACAATATCGTTTTAGTCGAGATATTTTGTTGAGCAAATGGTAAAAAAAGCAACCTAACAAAATCCACCTAACCCAACTTAAAAATGAGCTAATGTAACTTAACCTTACTCTGCTATCCGTATTCACGTCTTTACATTCAGCCAGGCGAGCGACATGACTTAATACTAAGTGTCCATGACTAAATACTGTGCCATCTCACAAAAGTAACAAGTTACACATGAAACACTTATTCCATGATGTACACAGGTTGTATGTATTGTAAAATGTAAACTAATGCCCGAGTTCCGCTGAGTAGCAGTCATAAACCTAGCCAAAGTTTCTTTTAAGATATGTCCAGAACAAGAGACAAGTGTCTTCATCCACATATTTTACTGTTTTGTTAAAGTTAAAAAAAGAACATGAAGAAGCTAAACGACTAAGGCTCATACAGTGCTTGGGGAATGAGAGTTAATCACACATTAGAGGAATGATAGTAACTCTTATTCCTTGGATCAAGAGCCCTTCACCAGCCTCGTGGAATCGTCCTTGAAATTCAAAAAGTAGGCACCAAACTCTGGCAGTGATGCCACAAGCTAACCGGCTGCGTTAGGTTAAATTGGGTTAAACTGTTATGCAAAATTAAGTTTATTTTGGTATACGGGTACAAAAGTACAATTATCATGCTAAGTAACACAAGTGCAAATTTTCTATCCTAACTCAAAAAAGTCGAAGTAACTTACATATTGCTTTAATGTTATTAGTATATTACTATTTCGTTTTGACGCTGTTTAAAGTTTAACACTTGGCACTGCGGATGAGTACATGGTCCACTTACTTATACAAGGTGGGTGTCATGTCGATTCTCTCCTCCAGTGACCTGCCTCTGAGCCTGAAGTACCTCCCCGTCACAGCACTGTGCAGCTCCAGCTCATCCTCATCCTCGTCAGACGTGTCACTAAATCCTGCTGGCATCATCTTGATTATTCTTGGGCTTCAGCCAAACTGTGTCCTCGTGCCCAGTGCCCCACTCTATGTTTGTGTCTTGACGTCACGTCTCGCGTCACACACTGCCTCTCAATTTTTCAAGTCTGTTATTCAGTTATCTCCACTACACGGTATAGTCTTCGGGAGAAGACACCTTTAAGCAAACTTAATGTATCCTGAAGATGATTCAGGGTAATCGTGCATATCATTTCGTCCTTGGCAACGCTCTCGCACAGATAAGGAGGGAGGCCCAGCGACAGTACGACAATGACAGCATCGAAAGTCAAGTCTGACCCGAAACTGCTGTATAGCCACATTAGGAGAAAGACAACAGTCAATGACCAGTTGATCAGGCTGAGGAAAGAAAGTGGGGAACTCACAAGAAACGATCAAGAGGTATGCGAGGAGCTCAACACGAGATTTAAGGAAGTATTCACAGCGGAGACAGGAAGGACTCTGGGAAGAAAGGACAGAAGGGTACACCAACAGGGAATAGACCAACAAGTGCTGGATGATATGCACACAACTGAGGAGGAGGTGAAGAAGCTGCTAAGTGACCTTGATACCTACAAGGCAATTGAACCGGACAACATCTCCCCGTGGGTTCTCAGGGAGGGAGCAGATATACTGTGTGTGCCATTAACCACAATGTAAAAGAGAGCAAATGAGAGAGTGGGTGAGATGTTATCAACAAATTTTGTTGAAAATAAGAAAAAGTTTTGGAGTGAGATTAACAAGTTAAGAAAGCCTAGAGAACAAATGGATTTGTCAGTTAAAAATAGGAGAGGAGAGTTATTAAATGGAGAGTTAGAGGTATAACCTTTATATTATAATAATAAGGTAAAAGGACCCCAATGGAAATAAGTCACTCTGTCTGACTTTTTTGGGTTATCCTAGGTTCTCTACACATATTACCTGGAGTTTACCTGGAGAGAGTTTCGGGGGTCAATGCCCCCGCGGCCCGGTCTGTGACCAGGCCTCCTGGTGGATCAGCGCCTGATCAACCAGGCTGTTGCTGCTGGCTGCACGCAAACCAACGTACGAGCCACAGCCCGGCTGATCAGGAACTGACTTTAGGTGCTTGTCCAGTGCCAGCTTGAAGACTGCCAGGGGTCTGTTGGTAATCCCCCTTATGTGTGCTGGGAGGCAGTTGAACAGTCTCGGGCCCCTGACACTTATTGTATGGTCTCTTAACGTGCTAGTGACACCCCTGCTTTTCATTGGGGGGATGGTGCATCGTCTGCCAAGTCTTTTGCTTTCGTAGTGAGTGATTTTCGTGTGCAAGTTCGGTACTAGTCCCTCTAGGATTTTCCAGGTGTATATAATCATGTATCTCTCCCTCCTGCGTTCCAGGGAATACAGGTTTAGAAACCTCAAGCGCTCCCAGTAATTGAGGTGTTTTATCTCCGTTATGCGCGCCGTGAAAGTTCTCTGTACATTTCCTAGGTCGGCAATTTCACCTGCCTTGAAAGGTGCTGTTAGAGTGCAGCAATATTCCAGCCTAGATAGAACAAGTGACCTGAAGAGTGTCATCATGGGCTTGGCCTCCCTAGTTTTGAAGGTTCTCATTATCCATCCTGTCATTTTTCTAGCAGATGCGATTGATACAATGTTATGGTCCTTGAAGGTGAGATCCTCCGACATAATCACTCCCAGGTCTTTGACGTTGGTGTTTCGCTCTATTTTGTGGCCAGAATTTGTTTTGTACTCTGATGAAGATTTAATTTCCTCATGTTTACCATATCTGAGTAATTGAAATTTCTCATCGTTGAACTTCATATTGTTTTCTGCAGCCCACTGAAAGATTTGGTTGATGTCCGCCTGGAGCCTTGCAGTGTCTGCAATGGAAGACACTGTCATGCAGATTCGGGTGTCATCTGCAAAGGAAGACACGGTGCTGTGGCTGACATCCTTGTCTATGTCGGATATGAGGATGAGGAACAAGATGCTGCTATGTATGATAATTCTATGTAACTGTATTGTGTATACCTGAATAAATTTACTTACTTACTTACTTAATTGGGAAGATGGAGGGAATATTTTGAGGAATTGTTAAATGTTGATGAAGATAGGGAAGCTGTGATTTCGTGTATAGGACAAGGAGGAATAACATCTTGTAGGAGTGAGGAAGAGCCAGTTGTGAGTGTGGGGGAAGTTCGTGAGGCAGTAGGTAAAATGAAAGGGGGTAAGGCAGCCGGGATTGATGGGATAAAGATAGAAATGTTAAAAGCAGGTGGGGATATAGTTTTGGAGTGGTTGGTGCAATTATTTAATAAATGTATGGAAGAGGGTAAGGTACCTAGGGATTGGCAGAGAGCATGCATAGTTCCTTTGTATAAAGGCCCCAGGGCCAGACTCATGGAACTCTGTATTCATCAAGAACTGCAAGAAGCCCCTATCACGAGCCTTTTCCATCCTATGGAGAGGGAACATGGACACAGGGGTCGTCCCAAAGTTACTAAAAACAGACATAGCCCCACTCCACAAAGGGGGCAGTAAAGCAACAGCAAAGAACTACAGACCAATAGCACTAACATCCCATATCATAAAAATCTTTGAAAGGGTCCTAAGAAGCAAGATCACCACCCATCTAGAAACCCATCAGTTACACAACCCAGGGCAATATGGGTTTAGAACAGGTCGCTCCTGTCTGTCTCAACTATTGGATCAATACGACAAGGTCCTAAATGCACTAGAAGACAAAAAGAATGCAGATGTAATATATACAGACTTTGCAAAAGCCTTCGACAAGTGTGACCATGGCGTAATAGCGCACAAAATGCATGCTAAAGGAATAACAGGAAAAGTCGGTCAATGGATCTATAATTTCCTCACTAACAGAACACAGAGAGTAGTCGTCAACAGAGTAAAGTCCGAGGCAGCTACGGTGAAAAGCTCTGTTCCACAAGGCACAGTACTCGCTCCCATCTTGTTCCTCATCCTCATATCCGACATAGACAAGGATGTCAGCCACAGCACCGTGTCTTCCTTTGCAGATAACACCCGAATCTGCATGACAGTGTCTTCCATTGCAGACACTGCAAGGCTCCAGGCGGACATCAACCAAATCTTTCAGTGGGCTGCAGAAAACAATATGAAGTTCAACGATGAGAAATTTCAATTACTCAGATATGGTAAACATGAGGAAATTAAATCTTCATCAGAGTACAAAACAAATTCTGGCCACAAAATAGAGCGAAACACCAACGTCAAAGACCTGGGAGTGATCATGTCGGAAGATCTCACCTTCAAGGACCATAACATTGTATCAATTGCATCTGCTAGAAAAATGACAGGATGGATAATGAGAACCTTCAAAACTAGGGATGCCAAGCCCATGATGACACTCTTCAGGTCACTTGTTCTATCTAGGCTGGAATATTGCTGCACACTAACAGCACCTTTCAAGGCAGGTGAAATTGCCGACCTAGAAAATGTACAGAGAACTTTCACGGCGCGCATAACGGAGATAAAACACCTCAATTACTGGGAGCGCTTGAGGTTCCTAAACCTGTATTCCCTGGAACGCAGGCGAGAGAGATACATGATTATATACACCTGGAAAATCCTAGAGGGACTAGTACCGAACTTGCACACGAAAATCACTCACTTCGAAAGCAAAAGACTTGGCAGACGATGCACCATCCTCCCAATGAAAAGCAGGGGTGTCACTAGCACGTTAAGAGACTATACAATAAGTGTCAGGGGCCCGAGACTGTTCAACTGCCTCCCAGCACACATAAGGGGGATTACCAACAGACCCCTGGCAGTCTTCAAGCTGGCACTGGACAAGCACCTAAAGTCGGTTCCTGATCAGCCGGGCTGTGGCTCGTACGTTGGTTTGCGTGCAGCCAGCAGCAACAGTCTGGTTGATCAGGCTCTGATCCACCAGGAGGCCTGGTCACAGACCGGGCCGCTGGGGCGTTGACCCCCGGAACTCTCTCCAGGTAAACTCCAGGTAATAAAAGAGAGTGCAAAAATTATAGGGGGATAAGGCTGCTGAGTATACCTGGTAAAGTGTATGGTAGAGTTATTATTGAAAGAATTAAGAGTAAGACGGAGAATAGGATAGCAGATGAACAAGGAGGCTTTAGGAAAGGTAGGGGGTGTGTGGACCAAGTGTTTACAGTGAAACATGTAAGTGAACAGTATTTAGATAAGGCTAAAGAGGTCTTTGTGGCATTTATGGATTTGGAAAAGGCGTATGACAGGGTGGATAGGGGGGCAATGTGGCAGATATTGCAAGTGTATGGTGTAGGAGGTAGGTTACTGAAAGCAGTGAAGAGTTTTTACGAGGATAGTGAGGCTCAAGTTCGAGTATGTAGGAAAGAGGGAAATTATTTCCCAGTAAAAGTAGGCCTTAGACAAGGATGTGTGATGTCACCGTGGTTGTTTAATATATTTATAGATGGGGTTGTAAGAGAAGTAAATGCGAGGGTCTTGGCAAGAGGCATGGAGTTAAAAGATAAAGAATCACACACAAAGTGGGAGTTGTCACAGCTGCTCTTTGCTGATGACACTGTGCTCTTGGGAGATTCTGAAGAGAAGTTGCAGAGATTGGTGGATGAATTTGGTAGGGTGTGCAAAAGAAGAAAATTAAAGGTGAATACAGGAAAGAGTAAGGTTATGAGGATAACAAAAAGATTAGGTGATGAAAGATTGAATATCAGATTGGAGGGAGAGAGTATGGAGGAGGTGAATGTATTCAGATATTTGGGAGTGGACGTGTCAGCGGATGGGTCTATGAAAGATGAGGTGAATCATAGAATTGATGAGGGGAAAAGAGTGAGTGGTGCACTTAGGAGTCTGTGGAGACAAAGAACTTTGTCCTTGGAGGCAAAGAGGGGAATGTATGAGAGTATAGTTTTACCAACGCTCTTATATGGGTGTGAAGCATGGGTGATGAATGTTGCAGCGAGAAGGCTGGAGGCAGTGGAGATGTCATGTCTGAGGGCAATGTGTGGTGTGAATATAATGCAGAGATTTCGTAGTTTGGAAGTTAGGAGGAGGTGTGGGATTACCAAAACTGTTGTCCAGAGGGCTGAGGAAGGGTTGTTGAGGTGGTTCGGACATGTAGAGAGAATGGAGCGAAACAGAATGACATCAAGAGTGTATCAGTCTGTAGTGGAAGGAAGGCGGGGTAGGGGTCGGCCTAGGAAAGGTTGGAGAGAGGGGGTAAAGGAGGTTTTGTGTGCGAGGGGTTTGGACTTCCAGCAGGCATGCGTGAGCGTGTTTGATAGGAGTGAATGGAGACAAATGGTTTTTAATACTTGACGTGCTGTTGGAGTGTGAGCAAAGTAAC